AATTGAGCCGCCTAGCCTCAGTGGCAGCGATGCTGCCTGGCACATCCACGATGAGCCACAAATCATCTGGTCTCACTGGTATCATTGGTGTAGATGAAACCATGTAGATTAACTATTACTATTGTCACATACTATAATTATTACATGTTATTACTATTGATTTCAGACATGAAGGTCCTGATCTATTTTTTTCGACGGCTCTGGTTCGCAGTCGGCACATGCGGGTAAAACCTTCCACAGCCCAGCACCGTGCGTCACTTGCATGGCTATGTTGCCCCACGGAAAGGCAAAGGTCAGCGAGCACTGGTTTTGCGGTGGTGAGATTGCCTCTGCCACCACCTGCACCATGACCGGCCCCAAATATCTGGGCTTACCCATTTTTTTGGGTGCTTCGGAATTTTCGAACAAAGCATGTTGCTGAACCCCACTTCTGCTTGTCTCTGTCAGGAGCTCGTGTTTGTTTTGTGTGTGCGTGCGGGCCGCATTTACCGCTTGCTTACCCCTCTAGAAATTGCAAACACGTTTTGCCAATGTTAGGTCAACCCATTTTTTTCGTCAGCTCCACTGGCCCCTTCCTCTGATCCAAATATCTAGTCAGACAAATTAGCAGCTCCAGGTCTGATGGCGCCTGCCAAAAGTGCTTTCCAAACCCACTGTTCTGCCCGCTGCCAGAGTAAAGCATGTGCAGTGGAACCTGGAAGGTTCCGCCTGGCGAGTGGCGGATCAGGAGCCGCCAGTGTCTTTTCTTGGGTTCCATCAAACAGCAGGATGATGATGGTGATGCTCCAATCTTAACCAATTGGGCATGCAAAACTTTGGCTGCATGAAACCCATCACTCCTTTGGAACATTCCATCTTCCTGGACATGTTTGATCATCGCCAAACATCACCAACAACAGAAGACCGCATCATCTTATTCACCGTGCCCTTGTCGATATGCAATCTCTCTCTCTCTCTCTCTTTAATACTGTATCTAGATATATCTAGCAAACTCTAGCATCTATAGTTCTCAACTATTTCTCAACTCTACCACATTTTCATCCAACTTTCACCATAAATCCACCATCCACCACCATCCTAGGCCCACCACTGGTCCCTCGGATCGCCTGGTGGCACCACCGCTTCCTTGGCTTCCAATTTTTGCGTCGCCAACGCTGCGGAGGAGCGGGTGAAGCCAAGAATGCCCTGCGGACGGCGATTGATGGCGGCTATGGGGTTGGGATTGGCTCAAAACAAGGTCCAATCATCCAATCTAGGTCCTCCAAGCTGGATGATGCTGGATGGTTTCAGAGTAACACATGACGATTTTTTTTTGGTCCACGGATGTCCGCGGCGCTATTTTCTTGGTGATACCGTGATACCCATTTGAGAACACCTAGGAAGCACAAATGTCTGCGACATTTGTGGTGGTGGCAACCATCCATTTTTCTGAAAACTAAAAATGCAGTTTTGACCTGAAACAACAGGATTGATATGCTGGTCGGTTGTTGAGTCACTTCTCCTAACAAACGTTCACAAATACTACAGTAGTTAGCTGGGGCCTAATCATATGTCCAAAGGGAAAAACACACACACAAGACACAAGGTCACCATCATAACTACGTTTGCTCACCTGTGTAACGTTTTTTTCTTTAAATTTAAATGAATTCGCACATGCAACTAGATGCGGCCTCTTAGAGTTTCATCATGTTTCATCCACGTTTCAAGATTCTCCTCTATTTGCTTTTCGACTTTGTTGAGGACTCCATACTCCTGTAGGATATAGCTTAGTGGCTGCCGCTCTTGCCACTGTGATTGTGGCTCATCTTGGCCTAATTCCTGAGCCTCAAAGATAGCCATGGTGGAAGCATGTGGTAGCTGAAAATTCTTATCCCTGCCCATCGTCTTTATCACAGAATTATTGTCGTGTACGGCAGGTCACAGGTTGCAGCAATTTGCAGCATCCGGGCTTCCCCGCCATCTGACTGACCACCGACTCGTTGCCGTAAGGCGGGTAGAGATGCAAGCGAAGAGGAAGCTGCGTAGCATTCCTGGTCTTGGTGAGGCCTATCTGATGATAGCTACTGTATGTATATGGCTATATGCTATATGACATATATATGACTATATGACTATAAGACTATATGACTATATGACTATATGACTACATAGATGGATCGATAGATGGATCGATAGATGGATGGATGGATGGATAGATAGGATAGGATAGGATAGGATAGAATAGAATAGAATAGAATAGAATAGATTAGATAAATAGATAGATAGATATATAAATCGGATTAATTATATATATATGATGCAGCCTCCCAGGTCCCCCCCTCCCCCCCAATAGGTATGGGTATACAGGAGCTATGTTCCCCGCCCCCCCCTGTGGGTGGGTAGGGGGTGGGGGGGTTAGTAGTAGTTAGTAGTAGTTAGTAGTAGTGAGTAGCAGTTAGTAATAGGAATGGGTATGGATATACAGGAGCTATGTTCCCCGCCCCCCCTGTGGGTGGGTAGGGGGGTGGGGGGGGTTGGTAGTAGCTAGTAGTAGTTAGTAGTAGTTAGTAGTTAGTAGTAGTTAGTAGTAGGGATGGGTATGGATATACAGGAGCTATGTTCCCCGCCCCCCCCTGTGGTGTGGTGGGGGTGTGGTACTGCGTATATATATATAATTATATGTATGCTTATGTAAATATATATATATATACATATATATATGTGAATATATGTATATATGTGTATATATATATATGTATAGACATGTATATATATATATTTATTTAAATTCGAATATGAATATATATTTATATATATATATATATATACATATGTATGTATCTATAACATGTAAATATATATATATATATACATATAATATATACATATATATATAGGAAGTAGATACATAGCACATGTATATATAACTATAGATAGCACGTAGGCACTTTGAGGGAGTATGTGTGCTACGCAGGTCGTCTAAAGGGTAGCATGTACCTAGTAAATGGGAGGCTGGTAGTCAGAATCGCTGCAAAAACCTAGCAAATGCGAGGCTGGACCTCAGAAATGCTGCCAATAGCTTGCAAATAGAAAGGGAGTGGGGGTGCTACCTGGGGACCCATCCCATTCGGGGGGGAGGGGGGGGACCTCGCGGGCGGAAGACGGGATCTTATATAGATTAGATTGATCAGATTGATTCGTATTGGACTGGATGGGATGGTCTAGATTAGAGTAGATTAGAGTAGATTAGGTTAGAGTAGATTAGATTAGATGACTGTAGACAAGATAATATCAAATAAGATAAGATAGATAGATAATCAATATTGTATTGTATTGGGTTAGACTAGATTGGATTAGATTGAGATAAGGTCAAATACAACAAGATAAGATATGATAATTAGATAAATATAGATATAGACATAGACATAGGTATGAAATACTATATAGATATAGATATAGATATAGATAAAGATATAGACTATAGATGTAGATGTGGATGTAGATATAGATATATAAATAGAATGATGTAAATATAGATGAAAATATAGATAAACATTTTTAATATATGTATATATATATATAGATATAAATAAAATAAATGCAGATATAAACATATACATAAATAGTCAACAATATATATATATATAAATAGATTTAGACTTAGACTTAGACATAGATAGGTAGGTAGATAGGTAGGTAGGTAGATAGGTAGGTAGATTGGTGGATAGGTGGAGAGGCAAACAGGTAGACAGGTAGAATGGTAGGTAGATAGGTAGATACCAGTAGGTAGGATCCATAGATACTTCAGATAGATAGATGTACTGTATGTAGATAGATGGATAAGTAAAACATGATACATGGATAGGCAGGTAGGTAGACCGATATCATTACACAATTCTTTCGGCATCTGATGATGTATGACTATGATGACGGCATTTTTCGACGAAAGTGGCATCTAGATACAAAATAACTTAGGGATGCTTACAGGCCCTACATGACTTAGGCTATGAGAACTACTCTGCCCGCGCTATCAATATCCTATAGATCCCAGTCTATTCTATCCCTGTTCAATCTGGGACTATCCTAAGTCCAACTTGATCAAACGAATTCAAATGGTAGCTAAGCAATCCTAAACATAAGCAGCGCAAGCCTATCCAAGCAGCATGCCAATGTTTCTCCAGGTGGCATCTCTTGACAAATCAACGTTTTGCAGGGTCGCAGAACCATACATCAACAAACAATCTGTCAGTCTGTCAGGTGAAGTTGCTCCGCCATGGTAACAGCCGCATTCATCTCCCCCGAAAGTAACCAGCCCCAGCCCTCCCCAGCCCAAAGGACAAGGGACTGAAGCTCCAAGGGAGGCAACAGCTCCAAGAGTGCTTGTCCTTGCCTCGGAGCCGCTAGGGAACGGGGATTGATGGATAATGTTGGGTTCTGATTAGTGTGGGGGTACACTATTGTGTCCACAGACCCCAAAATAATTGTGAACCTTTGGAAATGATGGGGTGGTACACTATTGTGTCCACAGGATTTTGGGGTAAGTTTTTTCAGTTTTTTATTTTTAACTTGTTTTAAATTATGTTTTATTTTTTTGATTAATTAATTGAATTCATTTTTTGAAAATTTGATTCAAATTTTAAATTATATCTTTAAAAATTCAGTATATATTGTTTTTATTTATTTTTTATTTTTGTATTTTTTTAAAACATATTTTAATTGAATATTTCAAAATCTGAAAATCTCCTATAATTAAAAAATATATTGATCCTAAATAATGTGTGTTTGTTGTGAGGAGGGGTCCACTATTGTGTCCAGCTGCTTTCCTGAGGTGAGTTTTTTTTTTTCAAACATTCCCTTGACTTTTCCTTTGCTAAAGTTATTTTCTTTCACTTTCTTAATTTTGTTCACTTGATCACTTGAAATTTCGTAATTTCCTTTCACTTGAAATTACACTCTGATCCACAATAGTATGGTTTGTTTGAGGGGTTCACTATTGTGTCCAGCTGCTTCCTGAGTTTTTTGTTCAAACAATCCCTTTTCCTTTTCCTTTGCCATTAACATTCCCTTTACCTTTCCCTTGTTAAAGCTGTTTTCTTTTAATTAATTACTTTCTTAGCTTCTTTCACTTAAAATTCTCAGAAATGCCCAATTTCCCAAAATATATGATGCCTTATTAAAACCCAAATAAAAAACATCATCCAAACAATTTTTCAATGGGGTAGTCCATGAGCAACCCTGATCCACAATAGTATGTTTGTTTGGCGGGTTCACTATTGTGTCCAGCTGCTTCCCGAGTTTTTTTTTCAAACATTCCCTTTAGCTGTTCCTTTGCTATTAACATTCCCCTTACCTTTTCCTTTGTTAAAGCTTTTTTCTTTTAATTAATTACTTTCTTAGCTTCTTTCACTTAAAATTCTCAGAAATGCCCAATTTCCCAAAATATATGATTCCTTATTAAAACCCAAATAAAAACCATCATCCAAACAATTTTTCAAGGGGGTGGTCCATGAGCAACCCTGATCCACAATAGTATGGTTTGTTTGAGGGGTTCACTATTGTGTCCAGCTGCTTCCTGAGTTTTTTTCAAACAATCCCTTTACCTTTTCCTTTGCTAAAGCTTTTTTTCTTTTACTTTCTTAGCTTCTTTCACTTAAAATTCTCAGAAATACAAAATTTCCCAAAATATATGGTGCCTTATTAAAACCCAATTAAAAAACATCATCCAAACAATTTTTCAAGGGGGTAGTCCATGAGCAACCCTGATCCACAATAGTATGTTTGTTTAGGGGGTTCACTATTGTGTCCAGCTGCTTCCTGAGTTTTTTTTTCAACCATTCCCTTTACGTTTCCTTTGCTACAGCTTTTTTTAAATGGTATTTCTATGGTAATACTATTGGATTTCTATGGAATTCCTATGGGATTTCCCTTATGTTTCTATGATATTTCTGGAGGATTTCTAAGGGATTTCTGAAGGGATGCTATGGGAGTTCTATGGTATTCTTATGGGATTTCCATTGGATTCCTATGGGGGTTCTATGGTATTTCTATGATGTTTCTATGATATTTCTATGGGGTTTCTATTGGATTCCAGTGGGATTTCTATTGGATTCCTGTTGGATTTCCAAGGTATTTCCATGATGTTTCTATGATATTTCTATGGGATTACTATGTATGGAATTCTTATGGGATTTCTTTGTGGTTCCTGTGCTATTTCCATGTTATATCTATGATCTTTCTATGAGATTTCTGTGGGATTCCTATGGGATGTCCATGATATTTCTATGATCTTTCTATTGGATTACTATGGATGTCAATTGAAAGTAAGTTGAAATCAATTGAAAGTAAATTGAAGTTAATTGAAAGTAAATTGAAATCAATTTGAGAGTAAATTGAAATCAATTGAAACCAGTTCAAAGTAAATTGAAATCAATTGAAATCAATTCAAAGTAAATTGAAATCAATTCAAAGCAATTTGAAATCAATTGAAAGTAAATTGAAAGCAAATTGAAAGTAAAATGAAATCAATTGAAAGTAAATTGAAAGTAAATTGAAATTAAATTGAAATCAATTGACAGTAAATTGAAATCAATTGAAATCTATCATTTTTTTTGATTCCACACTATTGTGTACCCTAAATTTGTTTAGGGGGGAGGGTGTGTGCCCCCCCTACACTAATCAGTACCCTACATGATATCAATGGCAGGTCTGTGCAATGGAAATGAACGAAGAAATGTATATATATATATACAATATATATATATACAATATATATATATACATATAATCATATATATATTATATATACATATTTATCACGCATATATAACATATGCAATATCAATTATTTACCCTTTTGATCCCTTTTGGATCCTTTTGGATCCTTTTGGGGCATACTGATGAATACGGAACAAATATGATCAAAATATATCAAAATGGCTTTATGATTCGGCGCGCAAAAATTCCGAAGATCCCCGACAGCCTGCTGCCACTATCCCCGCTATCTCAGCAAGACTAGCAAGACACTGACCGATGGACAGGGAGGCGGTGAGGCAGCCTCGGGTGGGTGCCACCATCAGCAGCTAGGGGATGTTCGATGATCTGAAGTATTACCAGCCATTGGATGATCGAAATACTTTCCGCAGATCATTCCGAACCACTGGAAATCCTCGACTTTTTGTGACACATCGAGGTACAGTTCTATATACATCAAGATCAAAAACTACGAACCGCGTTGCGAATCAGTCTCCCCAAGTGATTCAGCCATATCCAACCCCTATCCCCATATATCCTCATCCACCCCGTGCCCACACCCATCCACCCCTTTTCTGAGCTCTGGACATTGCACCTGATCCGCTCGCGTCGAGGACATGATGCCCTGCAGCGCGTACAGTGGCGCTCCGCAGCGCCCAAAGCTGCTGAGGTTGGGTCTTGCTTTGCCCTGACACCAGGGATAGAACATACCCTGAGGGAAGTGATTCAATCGATCCAAGGGTTTGCTGGTGATTTAGCCATCTGAGTCTCACCGTAATATGGCCAATAGTTGAAACATGTTGGAACCACCAAGCAACCTCCAGTTAGCATAGTCCACAATGTTGCCGACATCATCCAACCAAGGCACGCTCTTGTAAAGGTCCACCTGCTGAAGGCCCACACACAGCGCAGAGTTGATTGGCACTTCGATGGTCATTGGCTTTGGATCCTTTTCCAAGACCTGCCATCGCAGTGGTGCCGCAAAGCGCTTGAACATGCGTTGAAAAGGTCAAACCGGTATGGGTAAGTATGAACAAATCACCATAGCAATCAGTCATCAATAATCAGTAACAGTCTATTAACCATACGTACAACGCATTAAACAAGTAACAGTATCAAGTCAATATTGTAGTATTAGATGTATGGCAATGTATGGCATGATGTGTAATAGTGTAGCAGTAGGACAATCTGATCTGGGAACCTTTGGCTTGGCATGAAGCGAGCATCATCTGATGATCAAGCGAAAATATAGGAAGACACAGCTGCACCCCACCTTCTTGTGAAGCCGATCCTTGCTACCTGCCCAAAGCGCCACAATACTAACTGGGAATGTACAGATTCCAGAAACTGGGAATGTCCGAACCCCAAATTCCACAACAATATTCAAGAGTCACGGATTGAGAAGAATAAGGATTGTATAGAGTGGGGCGCACACACACACTTTGGTAAACTCCATAATGGAGAGAGTGAAATGAGATGAAATGATAACCGTCATGTCGTGTTGTTACATTAGCATGTCATGTCATGTCATGTCATGGCATGTCGGCATGGGTGGTTTTTGGCTTGGCCACCTTGCCATTTCGGATGCAGGTACGTTTTCACGACGACATAGATGGGTCTTCGTTGGCCCGTGCCATCTATGCGTCCACGGGCCCCCTGCTTTTCCCTTTGATTCAGGGTTTCTCACACACAGCAAGCCACTAGGGCACGATGTTTCCATTCCGCTGCTTGTTCTCTTAGATCCAAGGTTTCCACTTAGACGTATATCAAGCCGCTGGACACGATTTTTCCAAGAACAATTTCCCTCGGTGTGGTTGTTTTGGACTGAATGCGAAGAAAATGACCCCTCAGCGCTGTTGGTCTTGTGTCCCATATGTCGAAAACCAAATTACAAACAAACCAAACTTTTTTGGAGTTGAAACTGAACGGATAAGACTGGTGGTTTGAAGTGAATATATTAGGTATAAAATCAAGTCTCCTGCTTGACCAAAGAACCAATCAGCAAGTATGCCGAAGAAGCAATGTCGGTTTGTAGATCTGTGTCGTCTGCGTCGCCTGGTGGTGGATCTGTGCTTCTTGCGTGTGGTGCGAGATCGTGTACGGCTGTGCTTGTTGTGACTCAGTGGTGGAGTTGAAGCTGTAGTGGTTGGAAATTGCTGTGAAAATGGCGTGGCTGGTACTGGTTGTACTAGTGTTGTGCTTGTTGACTGTGGTGTAGACTGGTAAGTGACGAATGATCCATATTGTGGTGGTGAGAGCTGAAGATTGGGTATGGCTGCATTGTAATGTGGTGGTGGCTGAAGACATGGCATGGCTGTGCTGTGATGTTGTGTGTTGAAAGCATAGAGGTTGTGTAAACGCAGAGTTGGCAAATGGTGCTTGTGTTGGCTGTGGGACGGTGTGTCCCATAAGTTGTTGTGGTTGTTGTTGTGGAGTTGGAGCAAAAGGCTGTCTGAAAGCTGCAGTGGCACACTGTGGTTGCATTGAGTGTGGTATAGTGTGTCCGGCTGGATCATGTTGTTGTGGAGTCTGAGAGAATGTTGGTAGAAAGGTGCTGATGCTTGTGTGTTCTGTGATGCTTGTGTGTTGCACATAAGTCGTCGTCGAAGCTGAGCGTAGAGCCGGTGTCCGATTCCCAAATAAGTGGTGCGTAGTGCTTGTCGTAAGTGTGGTGTTGAGTGTTGTTTTGTGACTTGTCGTTGTAAGATAAACGGGTAGTTGAGTGGTGGACACCACTTTTGGATGATGTAGCTTTCCAGCGTTCGTGTTTGTAATGTTGTATTGGTGGGCAACAACGGCAATGCGACAAATTGATGATAGTTGTTTTGGCTGCAAAACCAATGGAGTGCCAACTTGCATGACACAGGTTGTGCTCGTTTTAATTGTCTGAGCTTGCGTTGTCTGGTGTTCTGACGGTCGTGTGGCGTGTGTATGGTACTGCCGATGTAGTGTTCTGTGCTGGAAAGACGAATGTTGAGTCCCGATATGACAACTGCATGAAGAAGTATATATACAGTGTTGGATTGACAGAACATTTGTTGCAACTGTACAAAAGTGCGAACAGACTTTAAACATGTTCTGTCAAATCTCCGATTCCATTTTCGACATGATTGTTGATGAACCTGATTGGTACACCAATGAAGAAAACAAAAACCAACTGCAACACGTAGGAATGTTCGATAAGCAACAGTGTCATAGAAATCGTCAGGTGGAAAATGTTGTAAGAATCCGAAAAACGCAACGCATGCCGCCGAAAACTGTACATGATCCGGATCGCCGCGGTCTAGTCACTCTAGTTGAGTGACCGCAAACAGCGGCAGCTTGTAGAGCTCCTCATTGCGCGCCTTTGCCGCCAGCGCCACCGGCAAACCAAGCGATGCTGCTTTGTCTGCAAACGTGCTTTGCTCGGCTTTTGGGATGTTCTTCATAAGTTGATGCAATGTGCTCAATGCCTCCTGAAGGGCTGCTTGGTGTTGTTTTGGAACTGGCTGTTTTTTAATCCAAGCGTCCACTGTTTTGGTTACGAGTGTGTGCGGTGCGGCTGTGGTGAAAGGACGTGTGGTGTTTGTGCCTGGTAGATTTTGGATGCTATCCTGTAGGTCGGTGATTGTAGTTTGTCGAGGAGCATCACTTACACTGCGAGGAGTGGTGGTGTGTGCTGAGGTAGTAGTGTTTTCCGCACCGCTTGCTTTGATGCCCATGTCCATCCAATTGGACCATCCCATGTATGCCAATTGACGTAGGTGGATACTTTCGATGGGTCGGCCTGCAAGTTGGTACCTTTGGCTCCAAGCTGTGGATGTGATTTGGCGTGGAAACGTCAAGCCATACTGGTGTTTGGTGTCAAAGTGTTCATTGTCTGGCTGGAAACTGCTCGGTAAGGTGCGGTCGTACCGCTTTGTGCCTTGTGGGCTCGGTGGTTCGTTCCAATGCTGGTGTTGTGTGTGTGCTTGAAATGCTCTTGGTGGTGTGTTGACTTGGTATTGTTTCGAATGCCAAGAATCATACGGTCTCATGCTGCCGCGCCACGCGGTCATGGTTGCACTCAAACAACGAAAAAAAAAACGTGAAGGTGTCTTGATGATTGCGATAATATTTACTTTTGAGCACGGAGATTGCTATCAGAAACAAAGTCCGAAACAGAGATTGCTATCAGAGACAACATCCGAAACAAAATTGGAACAATGGATGAAATTAGGCAATTAGGATTTGATAACATCAACAATGTTAACACATGTGACGCTTAGAATTACAATGGGTGACGACATGTTGGCAAGACTCTTCAAAACAGTTCCAAACGGCTTGGTGGAAGTACACTGTACATCGGCTCTTTTTGTTGGTTCCGCTGATATGTTCTATGCCACGTGTCACCAGGAAGATTTCACAAGGGATATTATTTATATCACAAGGACACATTATAATTATAGGAAGGTGGAGATTCTTGAAAATTAATAAATTCGATAAAAATGGCATATCATATTGTAATATAAACGGAGGTGAAACTGGCGTATCAGCAGCCTCTCATTTGCACGTCTGTCGGCAGCAGCTGCGGCTCGCCAAACTCATCTTCATGCTCAAGCATGTGCTGTACTGGTGTGGAGAAGTTTGGATCAGGCTTAAGGATCCAAATGCTGGAGATGTGTGCCAGTGTTGAGTGAATGCACCAGCGGCGATCCCGTGGTCTGTGGACTATGCCGTGAGTGTCCACTTCTTCTTGTTCGGCCCATCCAGATTCGTTTGTGACATGTGCCCAGTGGTAGTAGGCGTTGCCTGCTTGTGATAGTGATGTTGTGGTGTTGCGTGGCATGTTTTGTAAGTGTAGTTGCCACATTCTGAATTGTTGGTGCTGGTGAAATGTGATGTGGGTAAGTGTGTTGTTGATAGGCATGCCGGTTGTGACGATGTACTTTGCTAACGTTGTGGTGATGTCTTCTTGTGGTAGGTCGATGCCTGCTGGAAATCGTGTTTCCAACCAAGCTGTCATGTCACGTACACTTTTGTCCCGATCTGATAAGAATCGGAAGTATACTGACGGTGCTGTGAGCTCACGGGCTTGGAGTGTTGCTGAGTGAAGGCGTTGCTCTAACTCTTGGTACTTGAATATCTGGTAGCTGTCACGCGTGGGAGGTTCCCACGGAATGAGGACTGACGGATCCTGTTGTATTTGTCGTTCGATGGCTTCTTGAAGGTGATCAATTGCTTGTGTTGGCTGTGGTTCGTTTGTAGTGTTGGTGGTGTCAAGTGGTGTTGGTGGTGTGTATTGCTGGCGAGGTGTGAGGTGGACTTGTCCCGCTGTGACAGTCTTTGATGTTGTGGTGTTGTAAATGTTCTTGGACTTGGTGATGGACCTGATTTGGTCAGCCAGGCTAGTCGGTGGTGGTACTTTGGGAGGAAGCAAAGGAGGCGGCGGAGGTGGTTGTTGATGAGGAGTGGGAGAAGTGGAGAACAGGTGTTTACCTGTGTGTTCTGATGGTAACGGTGGTGGTGGAAGAGATGGTAGTTGTGTTGTTGGTGGTGGTGGTAGTGGTGAAGTGTGGTGATGTGGTGACGTGTGTTGCTGAGAAGATGCTGCTGGTTTGTGTCCGGTGTGTGATCGATGGTTGGATTTGGATCTGTCAGTGTTTGAGGGATGTTGCCTGCGATGTGAACGATGCTGGCGTCGACGTTGTGATTGGTGTTGTGATTTGTGGTGTCGTGAGTGATGTCGTTTCGTAGATTTGCGTCGGCTGTGTCGCCTGGTAGTGGATCTGTGCTTCTTGCATGTGGTGAGAGATCGCGTACGGCTGTGCTTGTTGTGACTCCGTGGTGGAGTTGAAGCTGTAGTGATTGGAGATTGCTGTGAAACTGGTGTGGCTGGTAGTGGCTGTACTAGTGTCGTGCTTGTTGAGTGTGGTGTAGGCTGGTAAGTGAGGAATGATCCATATTGTGATGGTGAGAGCTGAGGATTGGGTATGGCTGCGTTGTAATGTGGTGGTGGCTGAAAACCTGGCATGGCTGTGCTGTGATGTGGTGTGTTGAAAGTGTGACAAGATGGAGGTTGTGTAAACGCAGTTGGCAAATGGTGCTTGTGTTGGCTGTGGGACGGTGTGTCCCAGAAGTTGTGGTTGTTGTTGTTGTGGAGTTGGAGCAAAAGGCTGTGTGAAAGCTGCTGTGGTACACTGTGGCTGCATTGATTGTGGTAAAGTGTGTCCGGCTCGATAATGTTGTGGTGGAGTCTGAGAGAATGTTGATAGAAAAGGTGCTGATGCTTGTGTGTTGTGTGATGCTGAACTCATCCACTGGGCAAACAAATCAGCTGCCGTCATCGCGGGCTGCATGGTCGGAATCACGAAGCTGCAAGCGCTGCACATGTCAATCTTCAATGTGGCCATGATGTCAAATCGAAAGTTATCTAACTCATGCCATTACTCAACATGGCATGATGATTCACATTCATGGCTTTCAAAGGTGATTGGAGTGAGTGGAACTGGATCGAATATGGCGTTGCATGTCAAATGAGCGTTGGCTTTGCTCAGCAAGAATGTGGAGGTGAACCCAAGCTGTGGTGTGCTTGGAAAGATTGTGGTTGTAAAATTGGAAAACTTGTTGATATCTGTGCTTCTTGCGTGTGGTGCGAGATCGTGTACGGTTGTGCTTGTTGTGACTCAGTGGTGGAGTTGAAGCTGTAGTGGTTGGAAATTGCTGTGAAACTGGTGTACTAGTGTCGTGCTTGTTGAGTGTGGTGTAGGCTGGTAATTGAGGAATGATCCATATTGTGGTGGTGAGAGCTGAGGATTGGGTATGGCTGCGTTGTAGTGTGGTGGTGGCTGAAAACCTGGCATGGCTGTGCTGTGATGTGGTGTGTTGAAAGTGTGACAAGATGGAGGTTGTGTAAACGCAGAGTTGGCAAATGGTGCTTGTGTTGGCTGTGGGACGGTGTGTCCCAGAAGTTGTGGTTGTTGTTGTGGAGTGGGAGCAAAAGGCTGTGTGAAAGCTGCTGTGGTACACGGTGGTTGCATTGATTGTGGTAAGGTGTGTCCGGCTGGATAATGTTGTTGTGGAGTTTGAGAGAATGTTGATAGAAAAGGTGCTGATGCTTGTGTGTTGTGTGATGCTGAACTCATCCACTGGGCAAACAAATCAGCTGCCGTCATCGCGGGCTGCATGGTCGGAATCACGAAGCTGCAAGCGCTGCACATGTCAATCTTCAATGTGGCCATGATGTCAAACCGAAAGTTATCTAACTCATGTTATTAGTCAACATGGCATGATGATTCACATTCATGGCTTTCATGTTGCGCCATGTGAACTACGTGATGATTCATGTTCAGGGTTTTCATGTTGCACCATGTAAACTACGCGAAAACCATAAACTGGTCTCAGCGAGACTAACGAGTCATGTCTGTAAAAAGCCGCGAGCAGTCATGCATGGTATCCGTGTTGCAATCATACTACTAGTTCATGTGTAGAGGTCAAGGTTAAGAGTGAAATGACGGTCGTGTTAGTTAAACAAGTAGAACCACATGGGATGACACGGGGTTATTCTGAGGGATGAAAATTTCCCTCTGGATTTATTCTGACGTGGACTCTGGATTTATTCTGGCATGGACTCTGGATTTATTCTGAAAAGCATTCAATCCCCTGATGGAGTCTTCTGGATGCTTGTGCGGACTCTGGATGCTTGTGCGGAACTGGCTTCTGGCAACATTATGTCTGGATTTATTCTTGTAACCTGGTATCCCCGGCGGACGCACCACCAAGCTTCCCCGGCACTTTGTCAGAGATCCGGGTGCATGAAAGACACACTTTGGTAAACTCCATAATGGAGAGGGTGAAATGAGATGACATGATAACCGTCATGTCGTGTTGTTACATTAGCATGTCATGTCATGTCATGTCATGGCATGTCGGCGTGGGTGGTTTTTGGCTTGGCCACCTTGCCATTTCGGATGCAGGTACGTTTTCACGACGACATAGATGGGTCTTCGTTGGCCCGTGCCATCTATGCGTCCACGGGCCCCCTGCTTTTCCCTTTGATTCAGGGTTTCTCACACACACACACCGTTGTAGGATGTTGTAGGCCAAAGATCCTTAGGCCTTAGGCCATAACAAACACCAACGAGCCAAGCATGCAAAAGCAATATCTACGCGTAAATTGGTAACTCCAAACAACATAAACAACTAATGTCATTTTCCCCATCCACGTGCATTTCCATTTTGTACAGTGGGGTCTACTGAGTATGTACAATGTACAATGTCTCAAGAGAAGCCATCCCGCCCACTTCTGAGGGAGCACTTTTTGCCCTGGGACGGGAGATGGATGGATGTCTCAAGATCTATGGTGCGAAGTGCCAAAGGAGCCTAACAAAAGATAGAACATGATAGAACTATGTGGAGGCTGTGAAACACTCAGAGTCACCAAGCCCAGCTTCCCCTTTGCTCACTATTTCTTGTCCTGCTTCTCTGCATCAGGAGAGGTAATCGAACTCGAAATTCAAATTTGCGATGATTTGCGTGGAACCTGATGTGCTTGCACTGCCAGTGCCCGCAACCTGCTGCCCAATTCCACTGCGGCAGAAACCTGAGACTTCAATAAAGTCCAGACAAGGAAAAGACATCCGTTTATGGATGCCTTTGGTACCTCTGGACTGACTGTTTTGGTATACCTCTACTACAACCACACGCCCTTCGTGCAAGAGGAGAAAGTGGGTCGAAGTACTTGAATTGCCAGCGTCCAGAGCAGCCAGCCCAGCCATTCGGGCTGGATGGCTGAGCATTTATAGTCAAGCAGCTGTGAGAACGTGCGCGCGGCGGAGATGGCTGATCCTGTGAAAGCCCAAGCAATGTCAAAGTGCATGCTCCATGTTCCACTAAGGCTTGGTGGGCAACGGAACAGGCACCCTGGAAGGCAAGCGGCTTTCAGCCAACTCGCAGGCCACCTGTTGCAACAGTGGTAGTGCTCGGAAGATCTTGGAAGTGCTGTTTCTCCAGGGCTTTCAACTCCACAAACAAGCTGGGCACACACAAAGAGCCACCGGAGGGATCTTGAGGTGGATGGGTTGCATAAGCCATGTCCACCACTTTGAAGGAAGGCTTAATATGGCTTAATTAATTTGGTGTGACCGAGGTGCGCACTGCTACAGCCAAGGTAAGCACCAGCAGCCGAGCTTGAACATGCTTGAACAGTCACCGATGGATCCTCAGCCTCTACTGATGATGCGCTATGATGCGCTACTATCTGGAGGAGCCGAGGCAATGTCGCTGTTGCATTTATACAACACTGCTGAACCGTGCTGCGGACATCGATGCGGAAACCTACGTCTCGTGTGAAAAGCTCCAGCGTGACAATATCCGCACGAGTATCGGCCCTGCTTTTGGCACTCATGAATACCTCTGATACTTCTGTGTGTTCAAATGCACTTCAACACTTCGAAACAGCAACAGCACAGCAACCTGCAGCCGCCGGCCTTTTTCAAACCATACCTCGGTGGGCACGCCACAAAGGTTCAGCACCTGTAACTTGCGGCTGCTCTGGCAACCTGGGTGGCCGGGACGGTTCAATTCTTGCCTTTCTTGCCGTTCCCAGTGGTCTTGCCGGGTTGGATTCATCAACTGCTAATCTTTTTGTAGCTAGCGATAGCAGCTAGTGATTTCGACCTGCTACAGTTTAAAAAACAATTGGGGATCATCATCAAAAGTAGGGTGCAATACACGAACCGTTCCACCAACCAGTTTTTCATCACATTGGTTTCGACAGATTGGGGCGATTGGGGATTTATCATGCAATTTCAAGGAGGAACATATGTCTTGAAACCATGGGATGGAAAGGGTTCCCCCTAAGCTTTCAGATTCATATGGGATCATCTGCTGTTCAGCTCAGTGGCTTCTTCTCTTCGGCGCATCCTCCTGAGTGCGATCGTTTCAATATGAAATTTGGCCACCCTTTTTGAACCCAAACAAAGCAACACATGGGCAACCAAAACAAAGGGGGATATGGTTTAGGGTTTGCACTCTGGCACCCTGGTGAACCCCAAACTTGCTGGTGCTCTTGGGTATTAACACCCGGGTTGCGCATGGTCCATGGACTCGTTGAACCCCCTCGTATCCAGAAGTTGAGCCCTGGGTTGATAAGTGGAACCATTCCCATTTCAACAGTTGCAGCAACCGGACACATGGGGCTATGCTCCGTCCTGTGCTGCACTGGATGGGCTGTTGCTTCTTCTCTCCTCCTCCTGCGGGTCTGGTGATCACTTTGCCACCATCCGTCCCATCTGTCTGCTTGCCAAATACACAAAAAAAATCAACGTGACCCTGAGACTTGAACTTCCTGACTCCTGACACGTCATTTCTGGATAGACTCACATGTATCACTTTTCTCTATCACATTCCCTTGCGCAGAAAAGCGGCTCTGCGTGAACTGAACACCTCCCAGCGGCGACTGCTCAGTTTCACCCCCCCGGCTCCATCTCTTCGAGACTTGGCCGGCTGGCAGCCCCCACGCACCAAACGCGAAAATCTTTGTCAACCTTAGCGAAAGGAGCTGTGGTGAGCCATGACCTGAAACCTGAAATGTCTTGGACATGATATTGCCATAGCATCCGCTTGTCTGAACATGTCAAGACAAATAAATGAACTCCTCCCACTGGGGTGCGCAAAGACCCCAGCTTATTCTATTCAACTGGGCGTGTTTGGAATAGAACCAGCGTTTCCCACAATAGCCATGGCGAGTTTTTTGAGATTGGCATGTTTGGTGAATCATTTTGTGAATGTACATGCTATAAATTGTTCTCTGGGATGTGGCCCTTTTCTGCTTGTATTTGTAGCAATGTGAGTTTGGAAAGCCTCCTCACCTACACATAAAAAACCTATACAGTAATGATCAGTAATGTCAGTAATTACATTACATCAATATACTACATGATCCACATGCAGTATAATAATTTAATAGCTGTAGCGATCAGCTTCTTTCAATCAAATGGGAAAGGTAAGCCCTCTTCAACATCTTCAACTGGCAGGACCTACTGCCAACATGTGCCAAGAATCTGGAGCGTCAATGTGGGCCTGTGCTGGATGTCGCTGGCAACACGTGGGGGGGTGATGGGTCAAAAATCGAGGCACCAATGGACCTACAAAATTATCAAAATTGGCCTCATGTCTTTACCGTTTGTCAGTATCCAACATTGTCAAATCAGTCTTTTTTTGGGGCTCGATCTTTTTACCAATGCAAAATGTGAGTTGAATATCTTGAACGGCTGGGCATTTGCCTCGGCTGGTGATACAAAGCACGAACTCTGGGATTGCTGGCAATGTCCCACTATCCGTCCATCCTATCCATCGCACGCTCCTCAGCCTCCACATAGAGCTCGTAGCTTGAGGCATTGGTCTGGAGGATTTCGGTGATTTGCCAAACGTTGGGCAGCATGATCCGGACCAAGTTCTCAGTGTGCAGTGAAAGATCATGGGAGGGATGTTGCCAGCAATCTTCATTGCGGATAAATCGGCTGCAACTTTGACCACCGAATAAGACTACAGTAATAAGATACCACAGGACCCTCCGAGGGTTGCAACCACGAAGCCTTGGGAGAGGGGATCGAGAAAGGTATCCTCCACTTGGCTTTGTCAGAGCCACGTCGATCCAATACATACGTTAGACTGGTACCTCAGCAAGCAGATCAAGCAGTTGCAACAAGACTGCAACAGGACGTGCAAATGTTGCACTTGTCTTGGCCCCATGTTGGCCCCTTGGAGTCCCCTTGCGTGGTCCCTTGGATGCTAGGGTTCACGATGGTTCACTCTTAGGCTGGTGTCATCAGGAGTGGTTAAGGATGCTCAAGCTTCATCGACATCGTTATAGTCTTGACATATTTATACGTATCTGATCGTATCTGCATGAACTTGCATCAGTCAGGTTGTGCTAGCAACCCTCACAAAATTGAACACAATTGAGGTTGGATTGACCATGTTGGATTCTCCAACACACTGCACACAGGAATCATGACCTACCCCTTTGACAAGAATGGTAGACCCTGATGGAACATGGAGGCCCCATGCATATTGACGCTCTGACTGTCTTTTTGATCTTTATTTTCTTATTCCTTGCGTGCCCCAGAACAAAGGCTTCCGTATCTCAGATTTGCAATGAAACTATGCTTTTCCCCGTCAGAAATCATCCTGGCAGAAGCGGCCCCGAAACAACAAAGCATCAAGAGCCCGATTCAAAGTTTGATAAGAATTTAAATCAGCTCTAAGATTGATGCTGACTCCAGGTGAGAGCAGGCGAGATTCTGATGTGAAGACTCTCTTCATTCGGCACTGTGGTTCCCACACCTGCTCCATCCTTGGGAGGCAAAGGATGCGCGACTGTGAGATCTCACTGAGGATCCATCGTTGAGATGAGCCCTGCAAATGGATAGTATTTACCAACTTCATGGATCATCCCCTCATCCATGCTCATCCCATAAAACCTATTAAAATCCATTGAAATCCGGTCAAGTCCCAGCACCAAAAACAATTATCATCTGCCAAAGGGCTGGGTCTTGGACGAGGAGCTTGAACTCTTGAAGTTTCTCCTGTTTCCTTGGAGCGATCCGATCCCAGGGACGAAAGGGAACTACACGGCGCTGGCGGTTTCGCTCAATGATGTAACTACCTTGACCTTAGAGAATTTAATAACAATTATATATGAGGTTGAACATGAAGAGGATGTGAAACCTAACACCACCAGCCAATTTGGATCTTTTGCCAACAAATCTTCAGTTGGTGGGTTCATTCCGAGCAAAAATCCAAAAGGAGATGGCTGGTGTGACGTGAAATGCGTACAAACCAACTGCAACTACACCACACCTTGTTGTCCACCCAAAATAACTGTTTTGATACCCAAACATGGCAATCTTGTGGGGCCCATGACAGACCAATTTTTTATCCACACCCCGATTGGTTTGTCCAAAAACGGAACCACTATGAGCCACTGGGTTTTGGGGTATCCAACTTCATGGTTGCCCAGTCTCAAGTGCTTCAGGCCCTGCAAAAGGTGGGCTAACGGAGATGTGCCTGCCATTGGATCCAACAACCCATGTTCAACAAATGTATGCACAAAATCGATGGAAATGCGCCCCAAACTAGATGATTCAGTACTCAACATGACCAATTTGTGTGGGTCCGTTGGTACCCCAATCTTTGACTCACACCCGGATATGGGGATGGATATGGATGGATTAAAATTCAAGAGCCAGGGGGCCACGGCCCCAACAAAGTAACCCATTCGGTTATCCGGGTGATAATAGCCGACAGGAATGAGCACACGTTGATTTAGATACTACTGGAAATAGCCAACATCCATGGCAAAATTTCAGCATACCCTGTGAATGTATGTAATATTGAATGTGCCCGCTAGTTTGCTTTAGTTAGCTGTGGGGCTGGGCGCGGTTTGCTGGCGCGGGCAACCGCTGGCACCTTAAGGGGGGAAACCAATCCCAGTGTGGGGTTGCGGCAGGTAATGGCAGCTGCTGAAAATGCCCACATGTGCAAACCATTTACTGTATATGTATATATATATATATAGATTTAATCGAAGTTTACCAAAGGAAGTTTAGCCGACAATATGGACAGATGGAAGAGCAGAGGTGGGAAGAGTCAGAGAAGAGAAGAGCAGAAGAGAGAAGATCAGAGAAGAGAAAGAGTCAGAAGAAAGAAGATGCAGGTGCGCGAAAAAGTAGTAGGAGAGTCGCGAAACACTGTGTTTGTCGAATGATTTGTGGCTCCGGAGGGTCGAAAGTAGGCTCGCTAAAGCGGCGGGTGCGGAGCCATCTGGCTAGATGAGAGATGAAAAATTGCACGCCGTTGTGGCGCGAAGCACATTTCGAAGTCAAAATGTACAAAACACACCAGGTCCGGACCACTTTTGGAATTTGAGATGTCGAAAAAGTGCACGCCACTGTGGCGCGAAGCACATTTGCAAGTGAAAAAGCAAAAAGCACCTCACGTTCGGAGCACTTTTCGAAATTGAGATGTCGAAAAAGTGCACGCCGCTGTGGCGCGAAGCACATTTCGAAGTCAGAATGTTAAAAACACCACATGTTCGGACCACTTTTTTGACGTCCAGCTGTCGTTCTGCAAGGGATTCTGCACCTTGCCAAAAGTGAGCAAAACGTGAAGGGTTTGAGAATTTCTAAAAACGATGGCAGGCGTGGGACGTTTGAAGACGATCTGGAAAGATGCATTTCGCGTGGCAGGCGCGATACAAGAGACATGTTCATCAGAGATGTTAGGGGGTCAGGGCGCTGATTTCCTGACATGGGTTGCATTTTGGAGCATCAGATCTTCAGGTTTGCTAAGGTGATTTTGCGTGGCAGGCGTAGCACTTCGTACGACCTGGTATCACTGTTGCGTGACAGGCACAGCACTTTACACAAATGGAGTGGAAACATCGCAAGACGCATTGGTACGAGGCCGTCAGAAATCTCGCAGAATTGCTTCGTTTTTGATGTTGTCAACTTCGGAAATTGAGGAAGTCTCGTCTCGCAGAACTGCTTCGTTTTTGACGTTATCAAGTTCAAAATTTGAGGAAGTCTAGCAGAATTTCTTCGTTTTTGACGTTGTCAAGTTCAAAAATTGAGGAAGACTCGCAGAATTGCTGCTCTTCTGATGTTGCCAAGTCAACAATTAAGGACGTCTCGCAGATCGCAGAGTAGCTTCGTTTTCAAACTTGCAGATAGACAGATAGGTAGATAGGTAAAGAGGTAGTTGGGTAGTTGGGTAGTTGGGTAAATAGGTAGGTAAACAGATAAACAGATAGATAGATAGATAGATAGGTAGATAGATAGGTAGATAGATAGGTAGATAGGTAGATAGGTAGATAGGTAGATAGGTAGATAGGTAGATAGGTAGATAGGTAGATAGGTAGGTAGGTAGATAGATAGGTAGATAGGTAGATAGGTAGATAGGTAGATAGGTAGATAGGTAGATAGGTAGATAGGTAGGTAGGTAGATAGATAGGTAGATAGATAGACAGATAGACAACAACAACAACAACCAACAAAACCAACAACACCAACACCACCACCACCACAAGAACAACACCACCACCAACAACAACAGCAACAACAACAACAGCAACAGCAACTACAACTACGCTACACTAACACAGCAACTACAAATACATATGCAAATAAACCACACTACAGTACTACACTACACTCACTACACCACACCACAACTACAACTGCAACTACACTAGTTACACTACACTACAACTACAACTCCACTACACTACAACTACAGCTGTACTACACCACACTACATCCAGCACTTGTGGGTGAGGTGACCACTGCAACCATTGCAACCACTCCAAGAAACAGAACTCCAACATACTCCAACCACCTTTCGGTCCATCAGTGGATTCGCTCTGCCATCCATGCATCACAACAACTCACCTCTCCTATAGTGTCCTATCTTTGAAACTTCCGCCACCGCCTTGTGCGGTACTACTGGTATATAGATAGTGTCAATGAAACTTCTGGAACTACAGGTGCTCGTGCTTGGTCATATGGGCAGTGTTGTTTGTCTGCAGACCCATTAAATAATCATGATTTTGCTCATGCACCCTGCGAGTATCTCTCTCTCTCTCTCTCTCATTTCGTGACGGTGATGCTTGGAAAAAATGCTACACCTTGCTAAGATTGTTCCCATGCGGGAAGGGGTTGCGCTATATTACACTTGCATTTTCATCTCGCCTGTGAGGTCGTTGTTGCTCTGGTCATTCAATTCGTCTGGCTCCTGCGGGGAGATTCGAGAACACACGGGATGTTGCCATAAAAAGTCATAAAACACATGAGGCCAACAGCCACGTGCTATGGTGCCATCATGTAATCGGAGCGGGTTAGAAGTGGGAGTTACCTCCAGCCAAGATTGGGTGCAGCCTCTTAAACGCTTGTACTGTTTGATCTGGATACGCACCTTGATACTCTGATCTTGGTTACCAGACTCAGTAGATAAATGTAGACATTCCATTTCTTCCATCTTCCCTGCTGCGATCCTCCGGGGGCATGAGTATGTGAACGATCGGCTTGACACCCAACAGCAATGATGACGTCACGTTCATCACGAAATGTGTGTCGGCGATAAAACCTTAGGGCCCAGTTTCGCTTCACAGTCCCTGCCAATCTAATTGAAGTATCAATCGGCCCTTGCTGACTATGATCCCAGTATGAAAATCAAACAGAATCATACCATTCTCCGTGGCGCCTCTTGGGCTTTGCCTCAGCCCGACCTGACCCTTGACAAAGGAGGCTTCTCGCTGAGAGTTGAGTTTCTAGGCAGGTGCAGCTGACATCTGATGACATCCCAATGATACCATTGCATTTGCATATATACATGTGCCATAAACATTCCTCCGTCATCACTCCATCAATCTCCATCAGGCAGTCCAAAAGGATCCCTAATAAGGCCAAAGGAAGCCTTCGGCTACTGTATCCCCCCAACATGGTTGGCTTTCCTTATCTGACAATGTCATCCAATTATATCCAATTCGTTCATCTTTACTCCTCGAATGGATCCAAATGGGACACACACACACAGACACAGATAATTATTATATATATATACACCCTCAAAATGTAGCATATACCCTTTGTAGAACCCTGGAATTTGAACCTGAGGGTATACATTTATCAACAAAAGGGGGGGCCATTTTGAAACACCATGGTTTTGTCGCCATCTCCACGAGCAACGACAGGTCAAAGCCTCTGCGCGGACACCGCTTTCGACCTCAGTGACCATGCCCTGGAAGCCACCGGCGCAGTGCAGGAAAGGAATGGAAATTATCTGTGAAGATAGAAGATATTGTATATACATTATATACAGTAACTGTTGGATACTATGATATACTATGTGTATCGTAACATTTCGTAACTCTACATTACTCAAAAATAATCAATATATCTCAAAACGCCAAGAAAACAGAACTTTATGCCTGCCAATCGCTGCAGTATATTGTGTTGTTGCCCAAATGGCTGAGGCATGCTGAGGCAATGTCATGACTTTCCCTGGGAGGATCGACAGCTTCGGTGATCTTCTCCCGCTGAGCGACTAAGACGATAAACCCGTAGGGTTCCACGATGTACTCCGGGCACTCTGATTGCGCAATCGGTGTGGCATCGCCGAACTCATCATAGACATCATGTCGAAAGGGATTCCTCAGGGCACAGTTGGATTGCCATTCCACTGTATAATAATAGTATAAACTAAGAGTCCTGCAGAAGCATTGGCACTACAGTACATGGGAATATGTTCGAAGATTACTTTTCAACACACGTCGGCTCTCTGCAGGACCTCAGGATCACTCCAAATCTTCAGAGTGGTACAAACGCCTCCAACAAATATTCTAAGCCAGCGAGCTCCACAATGACCGAATCCCTTTCAGTGGCTGTGCTTTACCAAGGCACATGCAGGTGCTGAAGAAACCTGCATCAAAAACAGTGGGGTTGCTGTACTGCTTTGGGAATGACGGGTGGAAAAAACAAAACACAGTGAGCGAGAAAAACTGAAACACCTTCTGTCTGGTATAGTCTTGACAAGGTCTTGACGTGGTCTTGACCTGGTTCTATCATGTTATATACTTGCAAACTCCCGCGGCTCCTCGTACGGCCACTCTTGCTTTCAGTTCATCTTCAAAAGCCAAGTGCCTGCGTCCTCCCAAGATCTCCCAAGAACACACACACACAGATTCTCTCTCTCTCTGCCTCTCGCTGGGCATGGCCATCCGAAGAACACTGTGCTGAGAATTTGCGTGAATTGTTAGCCCCACCTGGTCAATCTTCAGAATGTCGATGATCTCAAGATGTACTAGTAGCATGATCATTGTGCACTGAAAAGGCCTTTCGAACAAATAAATGAAAACCTAAGACTATCCAACCACAGGATACTACGGCTAACCCCAACCCCATCACATCTCTCATAATTCTCAGTGAACTCCGGAACCATGCTGCAGTATGCCGTATGCCCAATAGCTCCACTTTGCTGCCTTGCACATGCCAGTACGTGACCTCCATTTCAAAAGCTTTGCTGGAGTCTCCGTTGCCACCACCTTGGGTGCCGTCGGATCAGTCGCCAATATGCGAAGGGCTTGCAACAAACCAAGAGTTGACAAAATTGCTGTTTATATTAAAAATTATTTAAATGGGAATGGGATGATAGTACTTTGCAACCCGGAAAACAAACCCGGCCAATGTCAACTAGTGTCAACCCATGACGGACACTATATGGTCAGTGTCAAGTGGCTCCCATCGCCATCCATAGCAGCGCCCACCGTCAAGCGATGTTGCCCCCGCAGCTGTGAGAGTGGGTCCTGTCAGCCGGAGCCACTTGGAAGTGGTTCCAAGTGGCACCCTGAGGGACAAATGGTCCGGGGTTTCAACATTTTCAACCTCACTGAACAAATGGAAAATTGATGGAAAATTGATGGACAACTGGGGATCATCATAAACACTGATTGAAACCATCAGCCAGGCAATCACCAGATTGCTCAGTGTTTGCCCTCATGATATCCCATGAGTTGCCATCGTCCGGCCCCCTTGCTGCCCAGCCTCCAGATTAATCCTCGGTGACGGCAGAAGTTTTCATGACCAAGGTGCAACAATCAAAGGTGAAACACAACTAGCATTAGAATCACTATATATACATATATATATATATATAAATATTATCGATTAGCAGCAATCACACAAAATGTTTGGTCGAACTTGGTCGCAAAACAAGCAGGACATGGGAGACAAGAAACATCGAGGATTATTCAGGTTGCTCCGTCCCTCTCACACGGTCACAAGCGAACCCTTTCTTCCCATTGCTTGGCATTGCGAAATGGATGATCTTGGATGCGACTCTCTATATCCTATTATATCCTATTAAGTTTTTATGGGAATTTCTCATGTTCAGATTCAGAGAATACCTTAAGCAGCAAGCAGCCAAACCCCCAAGAAAGGAGGATGAATAAACAACATACAGAATCACATTCAATAAACCTTATCCAAGACGCCGGAAACCCTCCGAAGACATGCGCAACTTGAGTCCAGTGCGGGTGCCATGGCCGGCCGGAGCAGCACTGTCTGGTGCAGCGGGGCTGTCCTGTTGAAATTGCTAGGGTTTACCATGGATTTTTTGGTTTGAAATATGTTAAACTTGCACAGTTGTGAAGATGTGCCAAGTTAGGATATCATTTTGGGGGACACCCAAATAGATGCAGATATGCTGAGATACAGTACATAAGTGATGATAAATGATCACGTTGGAGTTTTGTATGGAGAAATCAATGGAAGTATATGGGTGCAATCTATTTGATCAACAAGGCACTAGACCAAATCAAGTATTGGTTGGAATAGGTGGGTAGGCAGTGCTTTCCAGGCTTCAGTTGGATCAGAAGTATTGTACAGTACTGTTCAGGTATGTCATAAGTTCCAATATTCCTTCAACTCTTGAAGACAATGATTTCGTGAAATTTCCTGATGTTTTTTTCCAGACCCACACTTCTCCAGTGGTGGTAGCCCCATGTGGTTTTGCTGGTCCTGGTCCTCAGTGATCTGTTGAATCTGTCCCGAGTCAGAGAGTGCAGCGAAGATCAGCTCACGTGCAGGGAGGACGGAACGCTCTGGCCTCGGTGCCCGACCATCCAATCACTGGGAGATCGCCAGAAAAAAATGCATGGCTAAGATTAGAAATTCAAACGGATCATGATCAAAGCACTTGGAGGATCTGAAGAACCAAACTTCAGGGATCGCATGACTTAATTGTGATCCTTCATGCTGGTGAAAAAAAACGTTTGAGGATCATTGAGGATCAACAAGTTGGTGCCGCCGCCGTGCAAAATAAGTGCACAACCAGCTCAACACGGCCCCACGACCACCCAGGAACTCGATCTGCCAGGCGGAAGTGGGTGCAACTTTCGGCCGCAACGTGTCCTCCCAAAATCTTTGGGCATCACCTGGTTTCCGCTTCGAATCCAATCATTAGCAAAGGTGGGGAATGGCTGGGAATGGTGAAGTGGGGCCGACTTTGTACATGGCAGCGACCCTCGCTTTCATAGGACTGGGGCGCTCTTCAAATATCTTCAAATCAAAATATGTACTCATATGCAAGAAGTTTTGAATGAAAGAAACCCAGTTTTGATTAAATTTACGCAAACACACCTGTGTACAATACTGTGCATCGCTTTACTCTGTGGCCACTTTCACGGTGCGTTCCGAAGTTCCCAGGTCAATATGTTGCTCGTGTGTTTTCCATTGTTTTCCAAGATTCCAAACGATCCAAAAATGTCACAAACATCTTCGTGTTTGACAACATAGGTAGGCGTATCTCAGCCCATTCATGTATGCAGTATCCAAGTGTTCACACACACGCACACACACATACATATATAATCATATATATATACAATTCTATATGCATTAATTTATTTGTGTATTTATTTATTTGTTCATTTAAATATTTATGTATGTATTTATGTCTGTATGTATATAGGAAAAGTAATATATATATATGTATATATCACCCGCATGTGAACAATACCAGTAATACCGCACAAGGCGGTGGCGGAAGTTTCGAAGATAGGAAACCATGGGAAGGGTGAATTTTTGTGATGCATGGGTGGGAGAGCGAATCTGCTGATGGACCGAAAGGTGGTTGGAGTTGTGCTTTTTGGAGTGGTTGAGTGGTCACCTCACCCACAACTGCTGGATGTAGTGGGATGTAGTGTAGTGTTGTAGTTGTAGTCTCGTGTGGTGCCGTTGAACGTCCAAAAGTGCTTCCAACGTGGAGTGCTTTTCGCGTTTTGACCGGCCACAACGGCGCAAACTTTTTCGACATCGCAACTTCCAAAAGATCGTGGTGTGTTTTTCACATTGTGACTTTAAAATGTTCTCTGACTCTTCCCACCGCTGCTTTTCCATCTGTCCATATTGTCGGAAGTTTGACTTCTAAACTTCCTTCGATTACACCACTGTTTTGTAAGATATACATTGTCTATCCGAATCTATCCGTCCGACTATCCCTATCTATCCCGGAATCCCTTCTCTTTGTTTCCTTGCTGTAAGTCCAAACCTGCGTCGACACCGAGTGGCTGTAGTTGCGCAAGGCCCGCAGCAATTTCCACTGCAACGTCAGCGGGGAGCTTTTCTTGGATGGCAGCGCAGTGCAAACAAACTGCAGGAACCACTTCCAGTCAGTCCCGAACCATCTGAACCTTATGGGTCTCTAGCTAGGTCCAAACATGGGTCACGCCCAACAATCCAACAACCATCAACAACCTAATTAAGGGTGATGCTTTGTGCGATCTTATTTGTAATTGCTTGTAATCCATCCCTTGTTGGGCCCCTTCTGCACCCTTTGGATCCACAACCGCAGTATCTCGCCATGCAGCAGTCCCTCCTCCTGCGATCTGTTCGGGAATGTCGTCCGCCAAGATCTGCCAAAGCCGTTCCTGGCGCTCGGGGCAGACAGTTATGAATTGCTGGAAGCACCCCCAAAATCCCACATTCCTAGAATCCAAATATTCTGTGACTCATGGAGTGAGAATAAAGGGCCCCTACATGTCCCTACCAGAACTGAATTCAAAGGCACTTCGGACATGGTGACCAGCGAGAAAGGGAAAGACCCCGTCCTCCGCAGCATCGTCATCCTCCTGAGAAGGGAAATGTGAATGCTCTTGGCCAACACATGAACAAACCCCATTCGGCCGCACATAATGGGCCTGTAGTACATGCCAAACACACGTCAAAGTCCGTCAAAGTCTTTCAAGTTGATTCAAATGCCAAATGGCTATGGGAGGCAATTGCAGGATTATCAAGCTGTCTAGTGACAACGCGGCGCTTTATAAGCCCAATCAACTCTCATCTGTAAACAGTGCTAGATATTTCTGGTTCGTTATCCCAGTTTAACCAAGTTTTTAGGGATCTATCCGTATCCTCACTATATCATAATTATATCATCCCTATGGAAGGTTCAACAACCTATATCATCCCTCGTGGAGTTCGCCGATGTTTGCCGAGGAAAGGGGTCCTTCTCATGACCTTCCTTGAAGCTCTGCGACTTGAGGTCAACGGCCGAGACACCTGGGATCACTTCGGCCCTTGGATTGGCTGGTCATTCATAGCAGTTATAGAAAGTATATATATATATACATATATATTATATTATATATAATATAATTTATTATACAATCTTATTGCATACATTTGCATATGAAGGTGACTCAAAAAAAGTCGATTCTCTCATAGTTTGATCTATTCTATTGGTATCCATTTGAATCCATTGGTATCCCTATATGTATCCCTGAGTAGGCTTCAGGATATGGTCTGGTCCGAACCTTCCGGCTGGTGACAGTCTGAGTTGCTTAAGGGGCCAAAGTTCGAGACGCTTCGGTTGTCACCTGCGGGTGTGGAGTCGGAGGTCTTCCAAAAATATCAATTACTTTACTTCGTGTGATCCCCACCATGACATTTATACATTTTCTTACTGGCAAATCTTCTGGCATTCTATCTGACATATCTTCTGACATTCTATTTGGCATTCTATCTGGCATATCTTCTGGCATATGATCTGGCATATCTTCTGGCATATCTTCTGGCATTCTATCTGGCAAATCTTCTGGCATTCTATCTGGCATATCTTCTGGCATTATCTGACATATCTTCTGGCATTCTATCTGGCATATCTTCTGGCATATATTCTGACATATCTTCTGGCATTCTATCTGACATATCTTCTGGCATATCTTCTGGCATATCTTCTGGCATATCTTCTGGCATATCTATCTGGCATATCTTCTGGCATATTTTCTGGCATTCTATCTGGCAAATCTTCTGGCATTCTCTCTGGCATATCTTCTGGCATATTATCTGGCATTCTATCTGGCATATCTTCTGGCATATCTTCTGACATTCTTTCTGACATTCTTTCTAACTTTCTTCTGCACATTCTTTGTCCCACATTCTTTGTCCCATCTTCCTACATGAGGTCCGGCAGGGAACACTTGGCGTGGATACTCGCGGTTGAGGTCCGGCAGGAAACACTGGGCGTGGATGGTCGTGGTTGAGGTCGGCAGGGAACACTGGCGTGGATACTCGGGTTGAGGTCCGGCAGGGAACACTGGGCGTGGATGGTCGTGGTTGAGGTCCGGCAGGGAACACTGGGCGTGGATGGTCGTGGTTGAGGTCCGGCAGAGAACACTGTGGATCGCGGGTCGCAGTTGAGCAAGGACGACGAGGACGACGAGGAGGACGAGGAGGAGGAGAGGAGGACGAGGCA